TTTTTAAAAAGTGCACACTGATATGACAGCTGTCACAATACAATCTAACAAAATTGTTTCAAGTGAAGATAAAGACAACTAAGTGCTACTAGAACCATCTTACAGAAAAAAGCAAACGAACTTTTAGGCCAACCCAATACCATGGAGGAAACTGTGGTTGTGAGGGTCAGCAATATTTCCCACTGATAAAAATTTTTATATCTATTGCTCAAATATTCAGAATTTTGAGCCATGTCTCTTAACATTAATTTTATTTAAGTGCATTGTTGGCATTTTACTCTAGGTGACATTTTCTTTCTTCATTTTCTTTAAAAATTATCAGATTTTAAATATATTGCCTCATGTGCCCCCAGGATATGTACATTCATATCCACAATCATATACATTTCATATTTACATAAACACACAATAGTAAAATTATGTCAAAGCACCAAAAAGGCACAGTTTTATATTATTTATTTAAAAATATGATTCACCTGGCACTTATTACTTGTCTAAATTTCTGTTTATCACAGGATTTGATAAAATGTAAGAGATCCCCAAATATGCTGAGCTTTCTTTCCCCCTTCCCTACTGCTTGGAGTTCATTCGGGATTAGAAATAATTATCTGAAGAATAATAAAATTTTACTAAAAGGGAGTCATTCCATTTTCTTCTGGAAAGATTGCTCCACAAATAGGAATACGTACTTACAGGCAAAAGTCTAGTGTGAGAGCAACACGTGATTTATTTTTCTACAAACTAGCCTGCACGTTCTATTCATCAATACACGCCCTTACATGAGGAAGCCTTTTCCTCATGGCGCATCACTCTGCTCTGGGGGCTCTTTGAAAGTGAGCCTTTCAAGTTCATGCCCTACAGATCCCTGAAGCATCTGAGAACTTACCCTTTGCTTTTGGTTTGAAAATGGAAGACGTTAAGGCTGCACAACATGGCCGAGCAATTCATTACGGGACAAGGGAATGTCTGGGGTTAGGCAGGCAAGCAACTAATGATCCTTCATTTTGTCCAGAAAACATCAAGATCGATACATAGGACATGCAACATTTATGGAACACTGTGTTTTCGTTTCCCTCTAGGGAAGGGAGAAAATGCTGGATGATCTCTTCTCTGAGGATGGCTGGAATGATTGATGCTGTTTAATACACGTCGTGTCGTCTTCTTGCCACCTGCTAGTAGCCACACAGCCACCTGATCTTTGTTAATTTCCTGTACTATATATAGCAGAATTCAAATAGTTTGATTTTTGACAGGCATATTTAGCTATTTCATCGATTGAGGTAACCAAAATCTGGGATAACATTATAAATCAAAGTGAACAGAGCTAGTTCTGAGAGGCTCTAATAGGCATTAAGGATTCATGATGTATTCATTAAAATTAGATATTTTATGAGCAAATAGGAGGAGCCCAGAGAAAGAAAGTATGAGTCAAAAGAAGGACCTACACAGTTTTCCTTCAACTCACATATTCTGTCAGGAATGAAAACCAAACGCCATCATGAAATCTATTTAATGAGTGAGTAAATTATTCCTAGAACAATGCAAATCATAACGGAGGAGGCAAAACAAATGTGGTTCACGTTACCTGTCCTTGCAAATATCCTTAACCATGTTGTTTTCAGAATTTGAAATTCAGACCAGTGTCAAAATTTGGGGGTTGAAGTGAATTTCTTTTTCTTATTCCTTCATAGAAATGACACAGTCAGGGACTGGGAAACTAGATGTTCTTCCCAGGGGGAAAAAAAAATAACTTTGCATCTCCTTTAAGAGGAACCATTGTCAAAAGTGACAGGGGCCAAAATGGCAGTATGTTTTTCCAATGCACACTTCCCCAAGCCATCCCTGAAGACAGAAGGAAAGAACGCAAATTCCATACCAATTGTTCTCTACTATTGTAAAGTAGGGGTGACAGCAGGGCTCTAGTATGAGAAAACAACTGACTTAACATGCAGTCTTTTCAAGTGCTTTTTGGAGCCTGAGAAGCTCAGGCCATTACTGAGCCCTTGTGGGTCCCTCAATCACACAACTTTAAATCATTATATTGAAACTATAAATGTGAGTTTTATAAAATCACAAAGTTCTGAATTCAGAGAATCCACATCTCGAGAATGTGGAAGACTGAGATTTGAAAATAGGTTTTTGAATTCTATTGTAGTTGCAGGTAGATCTGATCAACTATAATTGGCTTTAATGAATGTACCCAGAAGCACGGACAGTGTCTCTAAAACTGCATTAGTATTGAAAATGTTAGGAAATTGGTCACTTTTTTATTTTGAAAATATCAAAGCAATGGCTTCCACTCTGATTTCAGAACACATAGCAACATCCACGCGGTCTTCAAGATAGAATAGATAACTGGATTAGCTTAGTTTTTGTTCATATAAGATTCCAACCATCTACAACAAATAACAAATGAGAACAAATAAAGGCAAACAGCATACACCTAAATTTTATTATACCTGTTGTCTTAACTTACTGAATATACCCAATGAGGGCATTTTACTACTGTGACTTCCAAAATACCAACATCTTGTATTATGTCCTGTTTTATTCCACATAAATTTAAATATCAAAAAATGAAATATCTTCTATAAACCTTTATTAAACCCTATTTGACTTTCAATGCATAAATAAACATATTCAAGTACCAATTGTGATCAAGATTGTATATTTAATTCTATTAGCGTTTCGTGTAAAAATCAGAAGCATAAAGTTACAGCTCTTAAAGGAGTTTTATAACTGGGAACAATTATTTTGCCTCTCATGTTCCCATGAGATAAAAGGAAGTGAGACACTCATAACTAAATTCTTGCTATTCACAATGTTTCCATTGGGTGTAGCTATGCTATTAGATAGGCTGATGTCAGAGCTTGCATATTCAGGAAGAATGCCCAGGTGTTTGGGGGTTTTTAGTGACTCTCTTTGTCTTAAGCATTAAATTGTATTTGTCAGCTATACGTTTAATGAGGAAAGCAAGGAAAACAGTTTCAAATCAATCAAGTCGAGAAGTATTTCAATGTCTTTTTTCTGAAAAGGAAGAAACCTAAAAAACTGAGACCTGTATTAAAACTCGAATAACCAATAATTTCTATATAATTTGTTCGCTATTAATTTTTTTATATAGCTATCTCATGCACACTTAATCTAAATTCTATATAGATAAGCATCTACGGGGTAAAATGGGATAAATATGGGGAAAATCCTCTAACAATGCAACTCCTTTCTTCAAAGATGGGTCTGAGCAGAGTGTCTAAAAGTGCTTTTTCTGCTAAAATAAAATAAAAATGAAAAGTATGTCTCCTAAAATGCAAGGACAGCTTTCATGCTGAGATGTAAATTGCTAACTCTTTTCTTAACAACACCATATGTCTCCAACAGGATCGAAATGCAGTCAATTCTCAAAGGAACGTTATGCATGGAAGCTAACCAAATCGAGGCACTAACCAAATCGAGGCACAGGTTTCACTGTGTGGTGACCCTCTGATCAACCAGAGATGCTAACTGTGGATTTTCCGCATCATCCAACTTTCGATCTGAAGGACTCTTCTTCTGTCCTGACATTTTCCCCAAACAATCCAATTCATAAAAGAACCCTGACCCCTTCACAAAAATATTTCTTTCTGTTCAAAAGTCCTCTTGTATAAACCTCAGTATGTTTTAAGGAATTGAAATGTTCAGCCCCCAAACACTTTAGCCATGAATTTTAAATAGTACACACATTATATAGCAAAGACTATAGAAGTCCAGTTGAAAAGGACCAAAAGAAAAATATTATACAGCTGAAAAAGTCACATTATTCCCCCGAGAATTACGAAAAACAAAAGACAAATTCACCAACATATATTTATTAGTCAGATAGTTCTTTATCCACTCACTCTAATTCTTTTTTAGCACCTCTGTCAATCTTTAATGTTTTTACATATGAGTAAGATATATTCTTCAATGTACTCACCTAATATTAAATACTTTCCATATATCCTACTACTAGATTAATATCAAGTCAGGCATTTCTAGCTTAAGCTTTGACACATGTGCTATATTTAATTTTTTATTTTGAGTGTAATTCTTTTTTTCTAGTGTAGTTCTTAATAGCATAAAGTTATTTCATCTTATGATGTGTATAATTAAGAGTTTTGCTTTGGATAGAACCAGAGACATGGAGATAAGGAACAAACTGACAGAGACCGGAGGGACGGGGAGGGGGAGCATGGGGACAGGAGGGGGAGGAGCAAGTCCAGGGACATGAATCGAGGACTCATGGGCACAGACAACGGGGTGAGGATTAATTGTGGGAGTGGGTGCCGGGGTGAGAAGGGAGGGGAGAGCAAGATGGGGGGTGGGGAACAATTGTAACTGAACTTAAATTTAACAAAGAAAGAATTTTGCTTTGGGAAATGTGAAATGCCCTGCAAAAGTCTAGATGGGTGCTCCTCAAATTCTCTCTGATGAATGGACAATTTCAATAATTTCTTTCCATAGGTCAGTCACTGATATTTTTGTAAAATATGAACTTAGGCACCCAGATTGTATGACAATGTCAAATTGCTATACAAGTTTCTAAATGCTTTCTCCCCCTTTCTGCACACTTTTTGTCATGGACTGGTAAGAGATGTTCACACACTGGCATCCATCCGTGAACACTAGGGTGCACACCACCGTTCAGATACTTGATAAATTAGAAATCAAGAAACCAATGTTAATGACTGGAGTCAGAAACTTCCTCATTTCACATGCATCTCTAACTATTCTTTGCTGTGATTTCCTCTAGTTCACTTCAGGGAACGGGCCACAGAGATTCAACAGAAAGGCCGAAGAGGAATCAGCAAGAAACATTTGGTAGTTTTAACAAAGATGAGTTGCTGCATAGGACTAAAAACTATACACTTATAAATGCAAATGCTTCCCTCCCAGGAACCCAGCCTGGGCCTCACCATGCACTCACTGGAGTCATTGCAATAAGCCTGGACGCTCTGGGGTGACCGCTTAATGGCTGGTCTTACCTGGGATGCCAGGTGGTGTTTTCAGATACTTTCCATTAAAATGTTGAATTACCACTTCACATTTTTCAGTAGACTCCATTCTGGAAAAAGAAATACACAGGGGATCATATACTTTTCACAAACTTGTGCACAGACAGGAAACTTTTTTTTAAAAAGGGGGGAAATAGAAAAGCCGTGGAAAAGCTTGATTAGAGAATTTCACCAGAATTGTCAACCACGACCACCAGGCCCAGCCCACAGAACATCACAAGCACACCATTGCCCCGAGTATCACTGCACTGAAAGTTGCTTACGTGGATGGCTCTGTGCTGAGTCCTCGCCCAGAGGCAATACCGAGGCATAATCTTATGTAATTGACATGACAATGTGTGGCAACTGAAAGTGCTCCATAAATACCTGTTAAGTGTCTGAATTAGCAAACCTGAAAGGTATGGGTCTTTGTAACTACTTTTCATATCCCATGAGGGTGCTGAGGCTGAGACAGATGAACCACCTTGACAATGAGGAGCAGAGTCTGGGCTTTAACTGAAGGCCAGCTAACACCAAAGCATGTGGTAACTACCAAACTAGACTACTGAGGGACTTCACAGAACAAGTTGATGAGAAGTGCTTTATTTTAACCAATTTTAGCTTAAATGATGATTAATACCGTGCTGTCGTCAGCACCAGGACACTTGTATTAAAAACCCACTGGGTGAAAGATACAAAAGAGAATTACCTGAAGTCTCAGATGTGAGAGGAGAATGAATGTACACAAAGCTCAGGTCCTGAACTTTCTTAATTTTGGATTTTGGACATCTTCCTCTCTTATTTTATGCTAGATATCAGTGTTCCTAAATGGGTTTCTCATGCCAAATTTTGTCATCTCACATAGAAGCTAATGAATGAACATTTTGAGCTATACAATTATAGTTTCAATATTGGCAGTATCACCATATCCTAAGTAGAGTAGTAGCAGCAACATTTTAAAAATAATTAACTATCTCTGGGCTTTATTGTTTTATAAAATTGGATGGGAAAGATAAAAATTAAAGGGTTTGTTCTGATCAAAGGAAAGCATGGCCCATGCTTAATTAATAGCACACTAAAGACAAAATTAAAGAAACAGAACACATACATATGAAGAAATATCTATGAAATGTGTGAAATCTGTCTACAAGGCAGAGGATAACTTACGTTTTCTGCTGTGTCCTTACTGTGAGTTTGCCTGGAATGAAGCCCTTTGACACACTTTGTGAAACTTTCCTACATCTAAATCTAAGGGGCATTTTCAGGATCCTATTACAGGACCGTGTTACAGGGAGGGGTTACAAGATAAGGAAAGATACGTAAACAAATGCCGAGTAAGTTTTACATTCATGACAGCTCTGGGAATTGAAAGGTGAGAGGGATTCCAGAAGCCTGGGGAGCACGGAGAAGAGGGAACAAGAAGACCAGAAGGGCCCTCAAAGAAGTGGTTAGGGCAGGGGCCTGCGCTGCCAAGCAGCGGAGAGGGCCCGTGTCCCTCCAGAGGGGGCAGAATGGGCAGATCACTGCGCTGGAGGGAAAGGTTCACTTGGGGAAACTCTTGAAGGAAAGTTGAGAGTGCAGACAAGGCCATCTGAGTGATCAGATGAAAACATCTGAAGTTGGCATCAGGAGCACCTTCCATGTATGGCGCTATAATTATTTTCACTAGAACTTGTTAAAGTGTCTTTTCCGGTGTGCATTGATTCCTGTGAGGCATGGGATAGACAGAGATCTTCTGTGTTTATACTCATGACAAATCTCTTCCTGCATCAGTCAGAACGGGCTTCGTGGGCACAGGACCCGGGCAGAGCCGCAGAGCTGCACCCTTAGAACACGCCTGCACTTGGTTTGCAACTCCATTGTCAACGTCTCAAAATTCTTAAGAATTTCCCAACAAGGGGTCACTCATTTTTGCATTTTACTGTGTCTCCAAAATTACATAGCTTGTCCTGCTACAAGAAAGTGCAGGAACCTGATTAAACATAAATTTATTCATCCGATGGTCCGATGGAAGTGTATTAGTGTTATTTTGAAAAACATCTGAAGAATGAATTGATTTTTTTGTACAGATTGAAGAAAAGAAACTCTTTAAGGCTAATAACATGCAATTTTAAAATACAAAAATATAGAACAAAGATAGCATTTCGTTCACAGTTTATTCACGATTTCCCCCAAATCAGAAGACATTTGGATTAGAAACACAGGATGAATCTTTAGGGGTAGCTAAGCACAATTTTCCTAACTTCTCTAAGTTTTCTTTCTGGTGGAATCTTTTACAGTGAGTCTTCCAAATTTTATTTTATTTTTTTTAAGTAGGAAACTTTTATTTCTAGGGGAAAAATAGAATTCTAATTCTGTTCTTTCTCTCTTTCCACATGATCTACTATCCTTTGTCTCTTAGGGAAAATAACCTTCCCTCCTAGTAGAGACATGAATGGGAGAGGAAATGTAAGCCCTTAATTACTACAGATGTTACTTTATGGAACTTTTATTCCAGGAGAGCTACGGGATGAATAGTTTATGCCCCAGAGTCCCACTGTTCAAGCTCTCTCTGGGTACTCCTCTGGATAAAAGGCAGTTCAGAATCTAAAACTTGCTTGCAAGAGTCCTGCAAATCAAATCCTTTCTCTTTGCTTTAAAAATGACATGGAATTCTAAATGGACTACACTAGATGGGGGTAGTGTGTGTGTCTCTTTCTGTGTGTATGTGCTGGTTGATTCCACATAATATGTTTCAGGCAATCCAGAGAAAGCTAAAGAAGAACATCAAGTAGCCAACACACTTGACCCACCTAAAATATTTTTGTTCTGGTTTGAAAGGCTCGAGTCTTCCCTTTTGGATTCTACATACGATCATCTTTTCTTAAAACTGTTTCCCCGCCAGAGCAAGCCGGATGGGGGCTGTTTCTACAAATACAATGATAGCAGCAGCGTAGATTGTTCACTTTAGCTTCATTCAGATTTAACTAAGTGAATGTCTACAGTGAGCCTTTAGAGACTCTCCTCTTTGAAAGAATAAATGCAATAAAAGTCTGTTTTCTATAGCTGCCGGCGCTTAGTGTCAAACCGTGTTATGCTGCACCACCCAGCAGTGACAATTTCATTTTAATACACGGGGCACATTTTAACAAGGCAAAACGGTCCCAGCAAAGACGGCAATATAGGAGCTGCCAAGGGGAAAGTCTCAGTGTTCCTCATGCATTTTATGTGGGAACAGAACAAAAGTGAGACCCACGGAGCTCTGGTTGGGGGGTGGGGGAGTGAAAGAGACTGTATTTGAATACCTACCTCGGAAGAATGTGCCCATTTTCTTCTCAAGTTTCACAATTAACTGCTTTGAAATGCTAGCTCAAGCTATCTGCAATCTGGCACACGCTTCAGTTGAAACTGACACTAGCATTATCAAGTGGGTCTGAAAAGGCAGCACGCCAGACAAAGCTGCCTTTACATGTCCCTTTCAGATGGGCCACTGAATCACTACAACTGAGTCTATTCTTCCTCGCTGGGACCTGAACCCCCTCACGTCCCTCGGAACAGCTTGCATGCCAGGCCAACCATTCACCCGATGATACATTAATTAGGTTCTTACAAGGCTCTAATCATTGTGTAAAGCTTAAGGGTTTTCTGTTAGGTCTGATGTTTAAATATAAACACACATTAAAGGTCCCTTTTGACATTCTTTCTTGTCTGGGTGCCTAGGAACCTGGCTTCCATTATTCAACACGCACCACAGAACTGTGATTTTTTTAAAACTTCTTTTCCAACAACTATGAAGAGGAGCTAGTTTCACAGCCAATACAATTCCCACAGGCAAATGACATCAGATCAGAGCCTGATCCGATATTAGTAGAATGTTCTAGGTCAGACTTAAGCGCAGAGGTGAAAAAGTATTTTGCAAAACCACTTGCAGCCCACCACCTATCTCACTCCAAAAGAGAATCTCTCGGTGTATGGTTTTAAAGCAATAAGCATTATTAACCACGTATTTTTTTAAAAAATCCACCCTGTCATTTATTATAGTTAATGAGAGGTTTCCACTATTGTGAAATTTTTGTGGTTTTGCAATCACAGGCTGTGTACAAATGATTGGCAACTTAGAAACATCCCACACTGCAAGGCAGCCATCCCTCCTTTCCGGTAAGATTTACGCAAAGGGTCAACATTAAAAGATTTTTTAGAACACTAAAATGTGCACCCCTGACATTTCAACCATAAATTATGCCATTTACTTCTGAACCCACTGCAACGGAAGGAACAGCAGTGAGCCCCTGAAACAAAGATGAGAGGAAGAGTTGAATTTCCTTCTGAGTTTCTGCAATATGTTTTAGGATCCAAGTGTCACAAACGCTGATGAGCGAAGCAGAGTGGTCTCCTTGCCATCTCCCTTTGCAGAAAGCCAGGCATTTGGGGAGTGTCTTGCTCAGCATTACAACACATTCCTCTTAGGAAACAGAACTTCGGATGATATTCGACCAATGCAAATCCACTCCCAGGTTTTGGAATCATAAAAATTCAGGATTAGAAACAGCCTCCAATATCAACTTCTACATTGTACAGATGAGGAAACTAACGCCAGGAGACTGTGCTTGGCTTCCTCAAACACCAGTTGGTGGGTGAGCCCGGAATAGAATATTTTCCTCCTGACTTTCAATGTATGTGGCTTCTTTGGAAAAGATGGAGCTCCATTGTGGTCTCATGTCATCCCTCCTGATTTCCAATGTTCATCTTCTTTAATCTGTCCTGAAGCTGGATGGATCCTGGTGGTTCCCGTCTACCCAGCCACTACTGAGTAGAGCAGTTGTCCCCAAAAAGGGAGATACATCCTGATACGACGTACCTAGAGGGCACTTCACCTGTCTGGTATTCACTGCAAAAACATATACATAATGTGGATCCTATCATGAGAAAAACTCAGACAAACCCAGATCTGGAGTCCTTCTCCAGAATACCTGGCTAGTACTACTCAGGAAAAATTTTAAAAGTCTGAAAAATTGCCACAGACCAGAGCAGATTAATGAGAAATGATGATGAAATGCAAAATGGTATCTCAGATTGGATCCAGGAACAGGAA